AATTATTTGAAAATACGTCTATTATTATGCATGAATTTAAAAGGAGACTATTATATAAATACTTATTTAATTATTTTTAACTTTACTTATTTAATTATTTAGTTATTCTTAACAGAATTATTTTTAGTTATTCTTAACAGAATTATTCTTAATTATTTTTAGCAGAAGTTTCTTTAATGATATAAAAATATTTTTAAAAATAAAAATGTATATCATTTAATGTCTGAATGGACCGAATTAGTCACAAAAGGAGATCGAAGTATTAAAAAATTATTTTTAATTATATTTCACGTAATTAAAGCTTTTTTGGAAAAAATAATTTATTTATAGCGAGAGAAAGAGAAAATTTGATTGGATGCACTAATGCATACTGGTGCATACAAAAATTGTCATATATAAAATTAAAATAATATAATTAAAATAATAAAATAATTAATATTATAAGCTTTTCATATTATATTATAGTATATTAAGTATATTATGTTAAGTTAATATTAAGTAAAGTTATATTATATACATTATATTACATTATAAGGTTATTCAACGCAAATAACAATAATAATAACTCGTATAATTATTTTATTTATTTTAGTTATTTCTGTGTTATTGGAAATTTGTATTTATTTATACTAGAACTACTAGATTTATACTAAAAATGGTACGTATTGATTCAAATTGCATTATATGAGTATCACAGAAAACGTATAAATCACTTTTTTAAATCAATTATTATTTTTCTTATAATCAGAATAACTTTTTATATAGTAAATGTGCCTCTGATGCTAAAGAGAAGATACTCAGAAATAAATTAATATAAAAAGTTTAAAATAAAATTTATTAAACAATTATATATACATATAATTATTTTTATTTATTGAACTATTTTTGTTTTATACATATCTAACTTTTTTGTTAAACAATTTTTATAGATTTTAATTCTTTTTAATAACGTGAGTATCTCCGCGGAGAAAAATAAATTACATCGGAATGCAGTTAATAAAACGTCATGGCAACACATGATCAGATTAGTCATTCGAAGTCAGTTACTACTGTGATCGCTAACCAAACACACTGCCACGTTACTTATCGTTTAATTCAAATTGCATCATATGAATATCACAAAAAATTGTGTACGAATAGAGTGGATTTTCAAAAGCATACGTAATAACATAATTGTATATAATAACACAACCAATCGTACGAACGAATTGTCATAGTTATATATTTAATAAAACCAAAGATATAGTAAATATTTAAGTGAATTCGATTACACGCTGTGTGTGCTTGAATATGGCTGAAAATGTTACAAGATCTATAATTCTATAACTTCTTTGATCGTTTGTAATTTGATTGTGGTTATCTTTTTATCGATGTTTTTCTGTGCTATAATATTAATGAAAAAGGAAAGCTGATAATAATTATATAATAATATTTCTGTATTCGCGATACAATCCAATAAATATGTATCATTTTGCATTATCATTTGTTCTCCTAAAAAAATAGAAATTATTTACTTACTAAGAATTTTCTAATTTAATCTTAATATATACTGTGATCATGACCATAAAAAGAAATCTAAAAACATAATATTAAAAGATATTAACTTGCGATTCGTTAGAACTGAGTTTCAAGGAATTTGTCGAAAATATATGTGTATATATATATATATATATATATATATATATATATATATATGAATTAATATCAATTCGATCAACACATCAGAATTAGTAGAGTGAGAAAAACAACTGATTGAAGATTCATTGGAAACCGATTGAGTGCAAACATTTACGAAAAATGCAAATTATGTTTGGAATAATTTTATATATTTTATAGAAAGGTTTAGTATTGACAAAGGCAACTATCACGCCAAAAGATTATACCACTTCAAACATTTTCCAGGAAGAAAGTGTTTCCATGTGTCCGGATTTAAATTTCACACAGGTAAGAGATATTTTTCGCTTGATTAAGAAACAATTGCATGCTATTGCAGTTAGTAGTGTAATTAAAAATGAGTGATAATAAATTATATATTCTACCTATAATAAGATAAGATAAAATAAAACAATTCGATATAAAAGAAAAAAGTATGTGAAAATATATGTGTGTTGTAAAAAAATGATTAAAGTTTCGAAATTTTATTTACAAATGAATGTTATATAGTAAATTAAATTTAATTAAATATTTAATTATTTTAAAATTTGACTGTATTATTTTCTCTCTTTCTCTCACTCTCTCTCTCTCTCTTTCTCTCTCTCTCTCTCTCTCTCTCTCTATATATATATATATATATATATATATATATATATATATATATATATATATAGGCGAGACCGGGGACAAATGTAACATCACTAATTAATTATCGTTAAAGATATAAAAAAAAATTATATGTTAAAAACTCCATTTATTGCTCTATTATTATACCTATGTTTCAATCTCAAATGATAAATATTTAAAGAGTTATTATAGCTTTTCGCAGTACGTTGATTGTTACTTTTGTCCTGGGACCGGGGACGAAAGTAACATAGTCTGGGGATGAAAGTAACAGTTCTTATTTTCGGGAAAATAAATATGTCTTTTTTAAATTTAAGGCAACTTTTATTATAATCTTTTATTAAGCAAGATAATTCTTTTTATAAATTTGTATTATATTATACTAAAATAAAAAATAAAATAAATATTTATTTTTATCTTTGAAAAACTTAAAAGAAATAATCTTCGCTAAGCAAAATAATTATAAGTAATATCATAAAATAATTATACTTAGTATTACACCAGTCTTGTATTTTTTTAAGTCTAAATAATAGTGTAAAAATTGTATGGTAACTACTTATATACAAAAGAGATATCTATTCCGAATTTTAATTATGGCATACGTAATAAGACTCGCTTTTGGTATAGTTATTACGGGACCAGCTCTTATACTTTAAGCATTGAAACGTGTTACTTTTTTTTAGAATAAAAGTATTATAAAGTATTATAAGAAAAGTATTATAAGAATACACCGGCAAATAATTACGTCAATATATACACTTTAATTAGGCATAAATACAAACAACTAAAACAAGAAATAGGTGAATAATGCAAATACACTAATTTCACTCCTTCACGTTCAAAAACGTCATCAGTGCGTAATATTCAAGATCTTCGTGACCGTATCACTGTAGATTGCGAGACAACCCTCTGTAGGCCAGGTATTTTTGAATGTGTCCGTGAATCGATACGTCGACGTGTCATTGCTTGTATTCAGGAAAATGGTGAATTTTCAACATTTTCAACATTTATTGTAACATACTCAAGGTCACATTAAAACCAAATGTAAATAAGCCTAATTAAACGATTGTCGTCAATAATTAATCCTAAATTTTTCCTTGTGTAAGTAATACAGCTAACAGTATTTTCAACATAACTCGTGAAATAAGCATTTCCGCACCTACGTCCATATAACATTTTTTCATTCTTCAAGTATGAGGAATATCTCCTTAAATATTTGACATACCTTTTTAGAACACCCTGTATATATATATATATATATATATATATATATATATATATATATATATATATACACCGTGGCCCATTTTAATCGAATATCTCCGTTGGTAAGCCGAATACAAAAAAATTAACTGAATAATATACAAATAAATTTGGCAGCATGGAGTTTTTTAATAATTAAAATTTTTTAAATTACAAGCTACATGAATCAACTGTTCATCGTTGAAGAAATCGGGATTCTGACTTTTACGACAAAGATGTAATAACTTTCGACGAAAATATAAACATAATTTTTCTTCATTTAATTATTTATCAGCAGTCAATCACATCTAACGCACACAAACACACAGACAGACAGACAGACAGACATACACACACACACTGTTGATAAACATAAAATAAAATCGCACTCTTTTATTCTCGTCGTAATTTTCTATTTAAATATATCATTAATTTTTGTAGATAGATTTATGACAACTATTTTACACAATTTTTTTTAATACAGCAATTTTTTATTAAAATAATTTTTTGTAAAATAGTTTTATACAATAATGTTTTACTACTGAGATGACTCAACTTCTTTTTTTTACCTTTTTTTGAAAAGGTAATTTTTTTAGGTTTTATACGACAATTTTTAAATGCACAGTTTGCATTAGTGCATCCCATCAAATTCTCCCTTTCTCCCGCTATAAATCAATTACTTTTTCCAAAAAAGTGATAAACACTTCAATTACGTGAAAATGATTTTGTATGCTTCGGTATCCTTTTGTGACTTATTCAATCCATTCATATATTAAATAATATACAACATTTTTATTTTCAAAAATATTTTTATATTATTAAAGACACTTCTGCTAAGAATAATTAATAATATTTCTGGTGTAAAGGTTTATGATTTGTGTAAAGAAAACACATAATTGTTTCGAACAAAAAAATGTAATTTGCAATTAACAATTAATAAAACTTTAGTAACTTTAGTAAAATTGGCAAATTTTTGAAAAGAAATTTGAATTATGGTAAATTGAGAAGAGTTAACTAATCTATCACGAAAAAGAATCAAATCGTTAAACAAAATTGTTTTAATAATTGCAAAGGCTGCAGTTTTGTTTGTATTACTTGCTAAAATCTGTTGAAACCTTATTGACTATCGTTAACCTATTGATTGATTTTACTTTTGACATGAGTTTGATATACAAGATATGATGTTTGATATACAAGATATCTTAAAAGAAATAAATAAAAAATAAATTTTACGATATGAATAAAACTACATCACATTCAATTTATATCAATTAAGGAATAGTATATATCAAATCAATATTATTCAATATTATTATTAATATTATCAATATTATTAAGCAAACAAAAAACGAATTTTTCGTTTTTTGTTTTATAAACGGCAATTTTTTGTTTAATTTTATAATTTATATAATTTATCATAAAGCGCCAGAAACAATCGATTCAACGATATTCACTTAATTCTTTCCGTATGTTACATTTCATAAAGGATATTTCAATGTTCGAAAAAAGTGATCATCATATACTAAATTTCAAATCTGACTGGACTGCGAGAAATGAGGGAGAAGTCGATGAAGTTACACTTGCAAATATTTCTATCATCCCAGACTCTATCGGTAAGTTGCAAAAATATACATAAAACATTAATAACAAAATCTATGAAAAGTGTAAATATAATTTAAATTCAAGAAAGAGTAGAAATTAAATCTAAAAATATCTTCCAATAGTGAGAAAAATATAAATTCTAATTCCAAAAAGAAATAAAAAAGCATAATATAAACATAACATTGTACATCAAAATTGTCGTGATTTAAGGTAAAGTCAATTTTATTAATTTCCTACTTTGTTTCAAAGCAATCGCAAATATTATACTTTTGATTTTTTTAGTTACAGGAATTTTCGAGAAGTACTTCTCATTTTATTGAAAGTTATTTATTCGTGTTTGTCATAAATTAACAATTACTTTTCTAAATCTTAAATGACGCAAAAAATTCTTATGTTATTTTTTTAAAGGTCAATACTGTGCTAATTTTCATATTTTGTAGTTTTTTTACTTTTTTATTTATTCTTTTTCTTTCCTTTACCTTGGTAGAAATTTTGATCGAGCGTTTATATGGCACTGACCAGCGCGCCACACTGCCACTTAAGGAGCTGGCATGACACGCTGGTAAAAGCTATCCTCCAAATCATCACGTTTTGCTCGCTGGCGCCACGTTGAAATGAATTGTGTGGTACTAACATGGCATTAACATAGTCCTAGTAAGGTATTGTCATAGGGCAGATGCGGAATTACTGTAATATAGCGTAATATTGCTTTACAAAAAAAGACTACTGAACTATTTGACTATTGACAAAAAACTTCCTACACAGTATCAAGTCGCCTAAAAATATTACTAAAACTAGAAAAAAAATCTGAAATCCAACAAGGAAAAAAATTTTGAATCCCACAAGGAATCCACATTATTAAATATGTTTTTTTAAATTCAGTTTGTCAGAAATTAAATTGATAAAGTGATGTCAAGAAGAAAACGCAGTTCACTCGCACACAATCAGAGAGCCATGGTTCTCTGATCGTGTGAACAACGTTCTCTTTTTGGCGATACTACTCACAAAAGAAAAAAAATATACTTTAGATCTCATGTGTATACCAGTCCTTTATACACAATTCATAAAAAATTGAATAGTTTAGTTAAGTCCGGTGTCGCCGCGTTTCGGCAAGTGAAGAAACACGTGTCATATATTGTGTTCTTCTTATGTTATTTTTTTTGACAAAGTGAAAAGATGTCTGAGCATTTGATGCAAGTATGGACCGCATCAGAAGTCCCGTCAAATTTAAATCTGCGCCCGTTTAATTTTATAATAACATTACGCCATTTATATGTCGTCCGCGACTATGGTTCTAATGTGGATCTTTTTAAAAATAATGATCTGACGTGGCAAACTTACATGGCGTTGACAAGTGTTATGGCGCTGGCAAGGCAATTTCTACCAGTATTTTCACATTAAATTGTTCTGATTTACTGAGATAATCCACTCTTATATATAATTATATTAATATATACGACCTTAAAATCTCTAGAAAGCAGTTTGAACAAGCCAACATCTCTCAGAGCATTTGTACAATTCGACAGTCAATTCACAAAAAAAGTAAACGATATTTTTGTGACATTGAGGTAAAGAATCTAAATTTTCAATTTGTAATCTTTCATTTTTCTCTCTTTTTTTTAAATTCAACGACATAACTATATCAAAATGTTAATTCTGTTAGTTTTGTTAAATATAAAATGGATCAAATTTTATTTTTTTACAGATGGAATCAATCTGAATTTACCGATTTACAAGGATACACAGTGCAATGTTTTTTCATCGAGGACTTAAAAAAGATTCAAATCTGCGACGATAAAAATATCACAACACTGGAGCACACCGTGCACAATCTTAAACCTAATACAACATATTATTTCCGAGTACGTGCACATACTGGTAAGTTATTGTTGGTCTTTAACTTAACTCGGATTTAATCGATGTATCGACTACGCATGAAAATTCAATACCTAAATTATTATTAGTAACGGATGCTGGCCTCCACATATTGGACTTAGATTCAAATACTATTAATAATCTCGTTGAACAATCGGACATAGGAGATGAGGATCGCTTACTGGGCACAAGAACATAAAATTTATTGGATGCACAAATATAATAATCTAATGACATTGGACATTACTGAAAATAATATCACAAAAATAGTTAGCTTCGATTATCATGCATATAATCTCTGCATTGATTGGGTAATCTATATATAAAAAATCTATATATAGTCTATATAGATACAAACCATTACTCTTGCATTGTAAAGTTCGACTTAACAATGTGGGAAAATGGCATAACTAAATTTGATGAGATTTCCAAAGCAAGAACTTCTGACTATTTAATTCTATCATCGTCTATGGGGTACGTTTACTACTTGAAAAAATAATTTTCCACTAATGATTTATGCAAATTTGTAATTTTATCATAATTTTACGTGGTTTTAATTAAGATCATAAGTAAAAAATAATAATAAGTTATCACATAATTACAAGAATTTCGAATTTTTACTACATACAAGTTTCTGTTTTTGTTAAAATAATGTTTTATAATGAGTAAAATAATTATATATTTTTTAGAATTTTATATCGCATATCATACAATTGGATGAATAAAGAATATGGTATGATCAAATATCATTTTGATGGAAAAAACGAGCAAATTTTTCAAATAAGTTTATCCCTTTGCCAATTTCGTCCTGCGACTTATATGAATCATATGATAATTGATAACATGAATAATGAGAAGCCTTTAATTTACTGGATAGGTGAATATGACATAATTGTCACAAACACTAACCTTTCTATGTGCAATACGATTTTACACACGAAAAACGTAGGTGATAACATCAGTTTCAAATCTATGACGATTGACAAAACAAACATTTACATTTTAGCACGTGATTTGCTCAACATACTTATTATATCTACATTTTGAAAAAAAAAATACGCAAGTATCAAGAACGTAAATGTAGATGAATATGTTAAAAAGATAATAATAGGCTCAGATAAATATTTTTTAAAAGAAATTCACGCTTTTGATAAATCTTCACAACCATATCCTCCAATGAGATGTCTGATATCTTACGAAAAAGTTTATAATTTTCAGAATGTGACTGCAACGACAACAAACAGCATCATTGTAAATCTTCCGGAGCCGGTTGTGAAGAATGGATGCAAAAAATATAATTTACCAACTACTATGTATACTATCTCCGTAAGCTGTTTAGACAACAATCTCAACAAATCTGAAGAATTCAATATGTAGACGTACGAGCCATATTACGAGATTCAGAACTTAATACCATTTACAGAGTACAAGTTGAAGTTTACTATAAGCAATTTTTACTTTGATCAATTATCAATAAATCCATTCGTTTCGAATGTGATAAAAATTAATTTGAGTAAGCTTAATGCACCAGAAAACATAAGTGTTCTAGCTTTGGCGCCTACTATAGCAGTAGTTCATTGGATGCCACTCAAAAAACTGACCTGCGTGGCCGTGACCTACGAAGTGCTTTGGAAGTCAGTTTCATTAGTGAACGGCACGCAACACAAGAGCAAACAATTTATCAATGTGCCGAAACGTGTGACAGACGGTAGATTTTTCACAAAGATTAATTTGTCGCTATTAGTACAAGATTACTTGATATACGTGCGGGTGTATCCAAGTAATTTTAGCGATTTCTACAACGAGAGTTTAAGCAAGATTAATCACATATATTCAGAACCAAACAATATTACTTTGAGTTGGGTCAATATAAATAGCATGAACATTTCATGGATTTCAAACATTAATCTGACGGTTCTTTCTACACTAGAGTACAAAGACATTGTAACAGAAAAGTGGGAAACAACGAATTATATTGAAATGAATTATAACAAAGAAGTAATATATCATATCGAAAATTTACGATCAGGAACTTTATACCAATTTCGCTTGATATTGATATACCTTGAATATGAGGAAACTTTTATATGGCCGTCTGATAAAAGATTTATTTTTTCAACACGTGGTAGCAAACGAGGTAAACAAATGAAAATATCCATATGGCACAATAAGATTGAAGATATATTGAAGAATAATTTAATTGAAAGAGTCATTGTTATAAGATGTGATAAAGTTAAGATGTCCGCTTTTTGCAATAAAACATTGTAGGAATATTACAGTGTAATATATTGAAAAGAATGCAATGTCATTGCAATCATTTAATAATATTAGGTATAAAATATTTTTGTTTGTTGATGGATAAATATTTTGGAAATAATTAAAAAGCTTGATATAAATAAAAATTTGCAATATCTAAGATAATCATATCTAAGATAATATATTGCAAAATTATATTTAAACTTAGTTATATTACAAAATATTATATTTTTATACAAAATTACTTTAAACTGTTACAAATCACTTTTTTTATTTTAAATGTTCTATATACTCTTTTAATGGGTACTTTATACATATATAAACATTAGTTATAGAATTAATTAAACATTACTAATTATATTTTTATTTAAAAATTTTAAAAATCCGTTATAATTATATATATTTGCATGTGAAATATACATAAGAATGCATAGAAAAATATAATGATAGATATAATAGTATCTATTTTGAATATAAGAAAAAAATATATTATCTTTGAAGATTAACATCGTATTCACATAAAGTGAAAATATATCAGAAAATATATTGTAACATTCATATAAAATGTTATCTGTATTTTAATAAAAAAATAGCAATGCTTATCTTTAGCTTAGAATTATATTTACTTTACTGATATTATTTCTGTGTCATTAATTCATTTGATTTCTGCAAAAAAGTAAAACTTATCGCAATATACAAATATAAAAAATATATTATTACATTATTTTTATAGATAAATTAAAGATTATTAAAGATTTATACTGTTTTTAAAATATAAATATCATTTTGCTAATATCTAATTTATACTTTATTAATTTATATTTCTACAATGTTTTCGTAATGTTGCATTGCAATTTGTAATATTGCAATATCATTGTAAAATAGTTGTAACATTCTGTGCTGCATAGATATTATGTGCTAATTTTTTTAGATATAAATAGGCCTAAAATTTAAAAAAATTAAATTTTTATAATAAAGTCATAAGTAAAAATAAATTTGTAAAAACATACACACACGAAGATATTAAAATTATATTTTTGCTTAATATAGATATTTTGGGCACTGCTGGAATAATACCGAAAAAATATTACTTCTTATTATTGATGTTAAGTTTTATCGTTATAATTATTATAATCTGCGTCTGCTACTTTTATCGTTGTAAGTATATTTGATGTAGGTATCGACTTGAATTGTAGATTATACACACATATATATATATATATATATATATATATATATATATCTGATATAATATCTGATTTACTGAAAATGTGATGTTATAGTAATTTACTTATATAAAACTAAATGAATAAATTTACTAAAAAACGAAAAATTTTATAATACATATTATTACATAATTAAGTCGAAATTTTATAACAGTGCATCGTCAACGCAGAAGTAATGATGAACAATTTTTGTCTTCAACAATTACTGATATAGAATTGGAGATTCTACATGAAGTACCTTACCGAAACACTTAATTCAATATTTACAGTCCTACGTTACATTATAATCCGGATGAATGTGCGATAACTAAAATCGCACGTAAACAAATTACACTAACAAAACGTCTTGGTAGCGGCGCATCCAGAATGGTAAAAATTAATTTTTTCAAGCAATGTTTCAAATTAATTTCTGGATCAATAAAACGGATATGTATTTTCTAATAAAGATATAATTACATGAATATTTATAACAGATTATAAGTAACATAAAATTTAGATGAGACAAACATGCACTTTATTATATATTTTTCGTTTAATTATTTAATATAAAGTAAAATATAATATTACTTGACATTAAACTTTATACATTTTCTAACGAAGTACGCATGTAAATTTGTGTGAAATACTTTGCAGGTGTTTCAAGGAAATGTGAAGAACTTAGAAAAATCGGGCACAGAGATATCCGTTGCAATAAAAACGGTTCCAAAAGATGCTTTTTCCTATGAGAAAAAGAAATTGTTAAAGGAAGCCGAGCTTATGAATCATTTTCAACACAAACATATATTAAGATTGTTGGCCGTTTGTTTAGATGGGAATTCTCTGTTACTAGTGTTGGAATTGATGGAAGCTGATCTGTTAAAATATTTGAGAGATTGTCGAAATTTACAAGCATCAGATTCGAATGCTCTGCGTTTGCAGGATTTGCTCGGCATGTGCGAAGATGTTGCACGAGGCTGTTGCTACTTGGAAGAATTGCGTTACGTACATAGAGATCTAGCGTGTCGAAATTACTTAGTATCCGCGAGAAATCGCGAGAATTGTGTCATCAAAATTGGAGATTTTGGATTAGCTAGAGAGATCTACAAGAATGATTATTATCGCGTGGTAAATACGATTATTAAAAAAAATTATTGATTAAAAAATGAATTCTTTTGAAAATACTTTCCATTTTTTATCATAATAGCATTATGCATTGTTTCTTTAAGTAACATAAAATATAAATAGTTTTTATTTATATATAGCAAGAGAAAAAATGAATAAGAAAAAATGAATAAATGAATATTTTTCATTTTAAACATATTCTAAAAATGAACACCTTGAACCAGAAAATTAAATTTTTGTTAACATCTCTCTCTCTCTCATGTTTTAGAAAGAAGAAACTTTCCTTCCTACTAGCTGGATGGCACCCGAATCTTCGATGATCAAAATATTTACTTCTCAAAGCGATGTTTGGTCATTTGGTGTATTAATGTGGGAAATTATATCGTTGGGTGAACAATCTTATATTACCAAGACTAATGAAGAAGTGATAAATTATGTACGTGCTGGAGGCAGGTTGCCGATGACTCTTAACTGTCCGTCACCATTGTACCAGTTGATGCTACGTTGCTGGACTACAGCGGATGCTAGATGAAATTTCCAATTTTGTCTGAAAAATATTATAGCATTAAGAGAGAACATGGAAGATGCCTTACTGAGTCCAGTCGATACTATTTAGCCGATATAATTAAATTAATGTTTTTCTTTTTTTTTTGCAAACGATAAATCTTCGATAAATCTTAATGTAGGAAAAATATTTTTAGAATATTTCTAAATTAATTCTGTTATTTTCAGGCTTAATCTTAATATTAGATTAATAAAAATAAAAGAAATTTATTAATTTTACCTTTTATAAAATTTAGATGATTAAAAAATATCACATCCGTTTTCATGATTGTACAACAACGTAATATAATGATGTATCTAATTTGTGTTTTTGAGTAATCGAATCGAAATCTAATAATTGCAATTATATATATGTATAATAATTATATTATTATATTTATGTATTCACAATTAATTATAAAGAATATTATTCGCGTTTCCTCTTTCGTTCATAAATTTTATAATCAGTTTGTAATTATCGGTCATATATAATGGCGAACATTAATTATATTTCCATGTTGAAAAAAATATTGTTTATACATATATATATATATGTATAAACAATATTTTTTTCAACATGGAAATATAATTAATGTTCGCCATTATATATAACCGATAATTATATGTTGAAAAAAATATTGTTTATACATATATATATATATATATACAGGGTCTACCAAAAGTGTGGAAACCCCTAAATATCTCGGAAAATATACGTTTTACAGAAAAGTGTTTCCAACAAAAGTTGTAGGGTTTAAGAAGATCTATATACTGATTCTATCAGTTTGACCTTGGATGGCGTCGTCAAGGTCAGGTCAAGGTCACATTGACTTTTTTAAATGACACCCCCTACATTTGATTGCATATTCTTATAGCTTAATTCAAGAGCTTTCCAAAACACTATAATAATGTTCATTTTTATTAAGTACTTTGCGAGTTATGAGGGTTGAAATAATTTCTTAATTTTACATAAACCATAAAATATCTAGTAAACCATTCATTTTTCGATTATCTTACCTTCATACTTTTATGTACAAAATAATGAAAGGAATCAATTGGTGTAAAGAAAACATACAGTTGTTTTTAAGAAAAAATATGGAATTGTTAATTGCAAATTACATATTTTTTCTTAGAAACAACTATGTGTTTTCTTTACACCAATTGATTCCTCTCATTAATTTGTACATAAAAGTATGAAGGTAAGATAATCGAAAAATGAATGGTTTACTAGATATTTTATGGTTTATGTAAAATTAAGAAATTATTTCAACCCTCATAACTCGCAAAGTACTTAATAAAAATGAACATTATTATAGTGTTTTGGAAAGCTCTTGAATTAAGCTATAAGAATATGCAATCAAATGTAGGGGGTGTCATTTAAAAAAGTCAATGTGACCTTGACCTGACCTTGACGACGCCATCCAAGGTCAAACTGATAGAATCAGTATATAGATCTTCTTAAACCCTACAACTTTTGTTGGAAACACTTTTCTGTAAAACGTATATTTTCCGAGATATTTAGGGGTTTCCACACTTTTGGTAGACCCTGTATATATATATATATATATATATATATATGTATAAACAATATTTTTTTCAACATGGAAATATAATTAATGTTCGTCATTATATATGACCGATAATTACAAACTGATTGTAAAATTTATGAGCGAAAGAGGAAACGCGAATAATATTCTTTATAATTAATTGTGAATACATAAATATAATAATATAATTATTTTTGAATTTTTGAATTTATAACAGTTATCATGTATAAATTTTTACATCATTTGGGATAAGTATATACATATATACATATATTTTATCTTTATATTTAATAACTTACTATATATTCAAATTATACTGATTACAAAAGAATGCAGTTGTAAAAATGAACTATATTTATTGTTCTATCTCCACTAGCTATATTTAATAAAGCTAATGTACAATATTTACGCACAATTAAGTACGCTCTATCATTTCGAAAAATCATCAAATACTGACAACGTTCTCAGCTAGCAAGCACACGTCATTTTTTCACGTTTCAAATTGGTCATTCACTGTCTATTCTTGACGTTACGAAAAATTTAAGATGTAAAAATGACGGTCTAATGTCATCATAGATTCTTGACATCATAATATGTACCACATTTTGACGTCATAAAATGTATCATATTTTGATGTCTTTCTCTTAGCATAATAATATATTTAATAGTGTTGTCGAATAAAGCGCTCTCTAAAAGTAAATCAGTGCATTATCACTGAAAAACAGTAAATAGTCACTAATTACAGCAGTTATAAGTACAGCACTGTACTTATAACTGCTATAATCAGTGATATTTTATTGAAAGAACTAGTTAATAATTTTGACTATTTCAATCAGTAATATCTCACAATCAGTAATATTTCTTTCGTTATTACAGTAATATTAAATACTTATTAACTACAATTCATCTCTCTATCTATTTCATAAATATAATATAAAGATAAATAAATATATAAAAATATAAATAAATATCGTTGAAAATAATCGAGTAAATACTGGAATATAACAATTTACTTGAAAAGGATCACAATCATATGATCGAAACGTCGTAATCAATAAACAAAAAATTTTTGGCTAGTTTTGGTCGATTATATTATTTCCAACGATCCTTTGATTAATTGACTAGCGATATTAATATAATTTATGTTATATAAATAAATATATATAAAATTAAAAATTTTATTTATATTTACTAAATATTTATTATATTAAAAATTTATTTATTATATTAAAAATTTTATATTATTTATATTACATGTATATTGAACTTGTTATTTTAAATAGATAACGAACGAGTAATTTTCACTAAGTAGCCAGACATTTATTTGTCCGACTTATAAGATTGATTTAATTTCTGAAGCCGCTCTATTGAGATTATCAGAAATTAAATCGAAGTAATATTTCTAATTTTATTTGTCACTATTTGCAAACTTTATATGATTCTTATGACTAAAATCACTTAAATAAGAGAGAGATAGCGATCATAGCGATCGTAGCATTATTTTAAATAGTAAACGAATGAATTAGCGATTACTGGTTTTACAGTGAAATTTACTGGTTCTATAGTGAATTTTACTTTAATAATTATTAAAATCTGATCGCGAAAGTCATGTTATATAAAAAATTTTTAAACATTTTTTTATGGGATCGATGTACTAACTAATGACATTAATAATAAAATAATCGTCACTTTATGTCAGAAAAATGATGTCAAAATAATGTTATATCAAGATGTCAATATAAAGTCAAATGTAACAAATCAGTCATTTTGACGACGTATGACCAAATATGATCAGTTTGGAATGTCAAAATGACGTGTGCTTGCTACCTGGGTGGAATTGTCAATAAGCAATTTTCGCATTATAGCATATCTTAAAGTTACTTATTGACAACAGCTATAAAATGTTTAATCATCTATTGACAATGCCGTTAAAGGGTTAACTGTCCACTTAACTGTTCAATATTAAAGCTGTGTTGTTGCAATGCAAAGAAATTAAATCAAATATCAAGTTTTGTCTCAAAAATATTATAGTTCTAAGAAGTGACATAGAAGACATTTATTGAATTTAGTAAATATTATATTTATATTATCTAACTGATATACATAACTTTTAGTTAATGGGAAATAAATTGTAGATGGATATGTATGAATTAATATTGGAATGTTTGTTTTTTACGATATTTATTAGACATTTAACATGTGTATTTTTGTATTTTATAAATTATATAAGATCTGCACTTTTTAATGCAGTATTAACTATTTTGTAAATTCATAAATATGAACACACAATTATAATTTTCTTTTTCAGTTTTTTTTATATTATGTTTTGAAACTTTTTCCTATTTCAAATTATACATATAAATTTTTGTACGTACATATATCATTGTTGGAGGGAATAAATTTTTATAAATTTGTAAAATATTTGAAAATATGTCTATTATTATACATGAATTTAAAAAGAGACCATTATATAAATACTTGTTTAAATCATTCTATGCAGAATGTTTTTTTAATAATATAAAGACATTTTTAAAAATAAAAATGTTGTATATCATTTAATATATGAATGACTGAATATATGTCACAAAAAGGATCGGAGAATTATTTTCCATTATATTTCGCGTAATTAAGTGTTTATAACACTTTTTTGGAAATAAGTAATTGATGATTAGCGGAAGAAAAAAGAAATTTGATTGAATTGGATGCACTAATGCACACTGATGCATATAAAGATTGCTGTATATAAAATTACAATAGTATAATTAAAATAATAAAGTAATTAATATTATAAGTTTTTATATTATATTATATTATATCAAGTATATTATCAATTATATACGTTATTATATTATAAGGTTATTCAATGCAAAGAACAATAACAATAATAATAACTCGTACAATTATTTTATATATTTTAGTTATTTATTGCTATTGTAAATTTGTATTTATTTATACTAGTGTAAAAACACTACCGCGTTACGTATTTAAACTACATTAAATGAATGTCACAGAAAACGTATAAATCATTTTTTTTAAAACCATTATTACTTTCATTATAATCAAAATATCTTTTATACAATAAACGCCTCTTTCCCATACCAAAGAGAAGATACTCAGAAATAAATTAATATATAAAAAATTTAATAAAATTCATTAAATAGTTATATATACATATAATTATTTTTATTTATATATAGAACTATTTTTGTTTTATACGTATATAACTTTTTGTGAAACAATTTTTAAAGATTTTAATTCTTTTTGAAATAACGCCAAGTATCGCATCGTAGAGAAAAATAAATTACAAACGGAATGCAGTTAATAAGACGTCATGGCAACACATGATCAGATTGATCATTCGAAGTCAGTTATCATTGCGCTCGCTACTAGCCAAAACCACTAGCGCGTTACTTGTCACTTGATTCAAACTGCATCGTATGAATATATCACATAAACGTGTCACAAAAACGTGTAATTGTATACGAATAGTAGATTTTAAAAAGCATACAGTAACATAATCGTACGAATGATGTGTATATATATATGAATTAATATCAATTCGATTAGCACATTAGAATTAGTAGAGTGAGAAAAACAATTAGCAAAGAATTCAACGGAAACTGATTAAGTGCAAACATTTACAAAAAATGCAAATTATATTTGGAACAATTTTATGTATTTTATTGAAAGGTTTAGTACTGACAAGAGCAACTATCACATTTACGCCGAAAAATTATATCACTTCAAACAGCCTTCAAAAAGAAAATGTTTCCATGTATCAGGATTTAAACTTCACGCAGGTGAGTGATATTTTTCGTTTGATTAAGAAACAATTGAATGTTATTGCAGCTAGTAATTCATAAATGAATGATAATAAATTATATATACTCTCTCTATCTATATAATAAGATAAAATAAAATAAAACTATCTAACATAAAAGAAAAAGTGTGTTATAAAAAAAGGATGTATAAAGTTTCGAAATTTTATTTATAAATGGATGTGTTATATAGTATAATATATTAAGTTTAAGTAAAACGGTATATCAAAACTTGATAGTATTATTGTCTCTCTCTCTCTCTCCTCTCTCTCTCTCTCTCTTCTCTCTCTTTCTCTCTCTATCTATCTATCTATCTCTCTTTATATATATATAATTATTATTTCTAAAAATAACAATTTTTAAAATTAATAAAATTTGCTGCTTACTATATATCCGCGACATTAATATATACATATATACGATGACACTTGAACAGACTTTTATGTCATTTTTCTTCAATTTTTAAAATTTCTTTATTTTTCTAGATATCTATAATAATATTTATTGATATATAGTGTAAGGTTTATATTAATGTAGATTTTATTTTAAAAAATTAATTTAGAAAGTCGCTAGATGCTAAAATTTATATTAACTTTTGTTGTACATACATACACATATATCTAATAATATATAATTACACATATTCTTATCGAGGCATTATCGGTTTATACTATCATCTATAGAATTTGTGTGTTAAAAATATAACAATAATCGAGAGAAAATTTGATAAGGTTATAGATGAAAGAATTTACATAATTTCTACGACTAATATTTAATATCTGTAAAGAAACAATATTTTTAACATTTTTGAAGTACAAACATTAATAAAACATTAATAAAATTTTAATAATATCGGCAAATTTTTGAAAAAAATTGAGTTACGATAAAATTGGAGAAGAGTTATCTAACCTATCATGAAAGAATCAAATTGTTGGGCACAAAATTGTTTTAATAATTGCCAAGGCTACACTTTTGTTTGTACAACTTGCTAAAAGCTTATGAATCCTTATTGACTCTCGTTAACCTATTGATTGATTTTATTTTTGATATGAATTATGTTTGATGTACAAGATGTCTTTAAAAAAATAAGAAGTAGATTTTAAAATATGAATAAAACTACATCGCATTTATATATCATTTAGGAATGATATATATTAAACCGACATTATTAAGCAAACAAAAAACGAATGGCAATTTTTCATTTAATTTTATAATTTATATAATTTATCATTAAAAGCACTAGAAATAACCGCTTCAATGATATTTATTTTATAATTCTTTTCGTATCTTACACTTTATGAAGGATATTTCAATATCTGAGAAAAGTGATTATCATATCCTATCTTTCAAATCTGACCGGAATCATTCTGATAGTATTGTGAGAAATGAGCGAGAAGTCGATAAAGTTACACTTGCAAATATTTCTATCATCCCAGAATCTATCGGTAAGTTGCAAAAAATGCATAAAACATTAATAACAAAATCTATGACAAAAAAGTGCAAATATAAATTTAAATTCAAGAAAGAGTAGAAATCAAATATAAAAATATCTTCCAGTAGTAAGACGATATATATAAATTCTAATTCCGTCTAAAAGAAATAGAAAAGCATAATATAAACATAACATTGTACATAAAAATTGTCATGATTTAAGGTAAAGTCAATTTTATTAATTTGCTACTTTGTTATAAAGTAATCGCAAATATTATACTTTTGATTTCTTAAGTTACAGGAATTTTGCGAAAGGTACTTCTCATTTTATTAAAAGTTATTTATTCGTTTTTGTCATGAATTAATTATTACTTTTCTAAATCTAAAGTGACGTAAAAAATTTTTATATTATTTTTTTAAAGGTCAATACTGTGCTAATTTCCATATTTTGTAGTTTACTTTTTTATTTATTCTTTCTTTTTTTCTACCCTGATAGAAATTTTGATCGAGCGTTTGTATGGCACTGACCAGCATGCCACACTGCTAGTTAAGGAGCTGGCATGACACGCTGGTAAGCGCCATCCTCGAAATCGTCACGTTTTGCCCGCTGTCGCCACGTTGAAGTGAATTTTGTGTGGTGCTAACATGGCATTAACATAGTCTTAGTAAGGTATTGCCATAGGGCAGATTCGGAATTACTGTAGTACAGTGTAATATTGCTTTCCAAAAAAATACTATTTAACTATTTGACTATTGATAAAAAAAATTCCTACACAGCATCAAGTCGCATAAAAATATTACTAAAATTGGAAAAAAATTCTAAAATTCAACAAGAAAAAAAATTTTGAATCCCACAAGGAACACATTATTAAATAATTTTTTTTTTAAATTCAGTTTGTCAAAAATAGAATTAAATTAAATTAATAAAGTGATGTTAAGAAGAAAACGCGGTTCACTCACACACAATCAGAGAGCCATGGCTTTCTGATTGTGTGAGCAGCGTCCTCTCCTTAGCTTAGATACTACTCACAAAGTCCTCTCCTTAGTTAGATACTACTCACAAAAAAAAAATATATTTTAGATCTCATGTGTGTACCAGTCCTTTATACACACTTCATAAAAAATTGAATACGAGTTTAGTTAAGTCTGGTGTCGCCGCATTACGGCAAGTAAAGAAACATGTATCATATATTGTATCCTTTTTATGTTATCTTTTTTGACAAAGCAAAAAGATGTCTGAGCATCTGACGCGCAAGTATGGACTGCATCAGAAGCCCAGTCAAATTCAAATCTGCGTCCGTTTAATTTTATAATAATATTACGCCATTTATATATCGGCCGTGACTATAGTTCTGGTGTGAATCTTTTCAGTTTTTGAAAATAAGGCTGTGACGTGGCAAACTTACATGGCGCTGACAAGTGTTATGGCGTCAGCGAGGCAATTTCTATCAGGATATTTTGATATTAAATTGTTCTTTCTCATTTACAGAGATAATCCACTTAATCTTATATATAATTATGTTAATATGTACGATCTTAAAATCTCTAGAAAGCAATTTGAGCAAGCCAACATCTCTCAGAGCATTCGTACAATTCGACAGTCAATTCACAAAAAAAGTAAACGACATTTTTGTGACATTGAGGTAAAGAATCTAAATGTTCAGTTTGTAATCTTTCATTGTTCTCTCTTTTTTTTTAAATTCAACGGCATAACTATATCAAAATGTTAATTCTGTTAGTTTTGTTAAATATAAAATGGATAAAATTTTATTTTTTTACAGATGGAACCAATCTGAATTTACCGATTTACAAGGATATACAGTGCAATGTTTTTTCATCGAGGACTTAAAAGAGATTCAAATCTGCGACGATAAAAATATCACAACTACAACACTGGAGCACACCGTGCACAATCTTAAACCTAATAGGACATATTATTTCCGAGTACGTGCACATACTGAAGTTATTGCTGGTCCTTACTCGGATTTAATCGATGTATCAACTACGCATGAAAATCCAATACCTAAATTATTATTAGTAACGGATGCTGGCCTCCACATATTGGACTTAGATTCAAATACTATTAATAATCTCGTTGAACAATCGGATATAGGAGATGTCGCTTACTGGGCACAAGAACATAAAATTTATTGGATGCACGAAAATAATCTAATGACATTGGACATTACTGAAAATAATATCACAAAAATAGCTAGCTTTAGTTTTGAGCTATATAATAACATATATCTTTGCATTGACTGGGTAGCAAGAAATCTATATATAACCTATTATGGTGAGAGAAACTACTCTTTCATTGTAAAGTTCGACTTAACAATGTGGGAAAATGGCATAATTAAATTTGATGAGATTTTCAAAACAAAAGAAACTCTTTTTCTTCACCATTTAATTGTATCATCGTCTATGGGGTAAGTTTACTACTTTTTTGTCTACTACTGTTTTCTGAAAAAATAATTTTCTATTAAAGATTTATGCACATTAGTAATTTTTGTATAATTTTACGTGGTTTTATAATTAAGATCATAAGTAAAAAATAATAATAAGTTATAAGAATTATTAAGGTATATTAATTATAAGAATTATTAAGGTATATTAATTATAAGAATTTAGAATTTTTACTACATATAAGTTTCTGTTTTTGTTAAAATAATGTTTTATAATGAGTAAAATAATTATATATATTTTAGAATTTTATATTACACATCATACAATTGGACGAATAAAAAATATGATATGATAAAATATCATTTTGATGGAAAAAACATGCAAATTGTTCAGATAAATTCATCCCTTTGTCAATTTCCTTGGTATTATATGAATCATATGATAATTGATAATATGAATAATGAGGAACCATTAATTTACTGGATATTTGCTTCTCATATAACTGTCACAAACATTAACCTTTCTATGTGCAATACGATTTTACACACAAAAAACGTAGGTGATAACATCAGTTTCAAATCTATGACGATTGACAAAACAAACATTTACATTTTAGTGTATAATCGGCTTCAACATACTCATCATATCTACGTTTCAAAAAAGAAATACTCAAGTCTCAAGAGCGTAAATGTAGACGAATATGTTGAAAAGATAATAATAGACTCAGATAAATATTCTATAGGTAGAATTTACGCTATTGATAAATCTTTACAACCTTATCCTCCAATGAGATGTCTGACACCTTACGAAAAAGGTTATAATTTTGAGAATGTGATTGCAACGACAAACAGCATCATTGTAAATCTTCCGGAACCGGTTGTAAAGAGTGGATGCAAAAAATATAATTTACCAACTACTATATATATTATCTTCGTAAGCTGTTTAAACAACAATTTCAACAAGTCTGAGAAATTCAATGTGCAGACGTACGAGCGGTATTATGAGATTCAGAACTTAATACCATTTACAGAGTACAAGTTAAAGTTTACTTTAAGCAATTTTTATTTTGATCAATTATTGATAAATCCATTCGATTCGAATGTGATACCAATAAAAACTAATTTGGGTAAGCTTAATGCACCAGAAAACATAAGTGTTGTAGCTTTGACACCTACTACAGCAGTAGTTCATTGGATGCCACTCAAAAAACTGACCTGCGTGGCCGTGACCTACGAAGTGCTTTGGAAGTCAGTTTCATTAGTGAACGGCACGCAACACAAGAGCAAACAATTTATCAATGTGCCGAAACGTGTGACAGACGGTAGATTTTTCACAAAGATTAATTTGTCGCTATTAGTACAAGATTACTTGATATACGTGCGGGTGTATCCAAGTAATTTTAGCGATTTCTACAACGAGAGTTTAAGCAAGATTAATCACATATATTCAGAACCAAACAATATTACTTTGAGTTGGGTCAATATAAATAGCATGAACATTTCATGGATTTCAAACATTAATCTGACGGTTCTTTCTACACTAGAGTACAAAGACATTGTAACAGAAAAGTGGGAAACAACGAATTATATTGAAATGAATTATAACAAAGAAGTAATATATCATATCGAAAATTTACGATCAGGAACTTTATACCAATTTCGCTTGATATTGATATACCTTGAATATGAGGAAACTTTTATATGGCCGTCTGATAAAAGATTTATTTTTTCAACACGTAGTAGCAAACGAGGTAAGCAAATGAAAATATCCATATGGCACAATAAGATTGAAGATATATTGAAGAATAATTTAATTGAAAGAGTCATTATTATAAGATGTGATAAAGTTAAGATGTCCGCTTTTTGCAATGAAACATTGTAGGAATATTACAGTGTAATATATTGAAAAGAATGCAATGTCATTGCAATCATTTAATAATATTACGTATAAAATATTTTTGTTTGTGATGGATAAATATCTTGGAAATAATTAAAAAGCTTGATATAAGTAAAAATTTGCAATATCTAAGATAATCATATCTAAGATAATATATTGCAAAATTATATTTAAACTTAGTTATATTACAAAATATTATATTTTTATACAAAATTACTTTAAACTGTTACAAATCATTTTTTTTATTTTAAATGTTCTATATACTCTTTTAATGGGTACTTTATACATATATAAACATTAGTTATAGAATTAATTAAACATTACTAATTATATTTTTATTTAAAAATTTTAAAAATCCGTTATAATTATATATATTTGCATGTGAAATATACATAAGAATGCATAGAAAAATATAATGATAGATATAATAGTATCTATTTTGAATATAAGAAAAAAATATATTATTTTTGAAGATTAACATCGTATTCACATAAAGTGAAAATATATCAGAAAATATAGTGTAACATTCATATAAAATGTTATCTATATTTTAATAAAAAAATAGCAATGCTTATTTTTAGCTTAGAATTATAATTACTCTACTGATATTATTTCTGTGTCATTAATTCATTTGATTTCTGCAAAAAAGTAAAACTTATCGCATATACAGGATGGGCCATTTTAAGTGATCCACTCCAATAACTTTTTTATATTTGAATGTACAACAAAATGTTTCAAATAAAAGTTGCTTGACTTCGAGGGGGACAGAAAATGGGTGGCAAAAATTTGACCTTGGATAGTCATTTGAGAGTCACATAAAGGTTACTTTCAATTTCTTAAATGGAACCCCCTATTTTTCATTGCATATTCTTGTAGCTCATCTCGAGAGCTTTCCAAAACACTATAATTAAGTACCTTTTCATTAAGTACTTTTTGAGTTATAAGGCTTGAAATAATTTCTTAATTTTACATAAACCATAAAATATCTAGTAAACCATTCATTTCTCGATTGTCTTACCTTCATACTTTTATATACAAAATAATGAAAGGAATCAATTGGTGTAAAGAAAACATACAGTTGTTTTTAAGAAAAAATATGGAATTGTTAATTGCAAATTACATATTTTTTCTTAGAAACAACTATGTGTTTTCTTTACACCAATTGATTCCTCTCATTATTTTGTACATAAAAGTATGAAGGTAAGATAATCGAAAAATAAATGGTTTACTAGATATTTTATGGTTTATGTAAAATTAAGAAATTATTTCAAGCCTTATAACTCAAAAAGTACTTAATGAAAAGGTACTTAATTATAGTGTTTTGGAAAGCTCTCGAGATAAGCTACAAGAATGTGCAATGAAAAATAGAGGGTTCCATTTAAGAAATTGAAGGTAACCTTTATGTGACCTTCAAATGACTATCCAAGGTCAAATTTTTGCCACCCATCTTCTGTCCCTCTCGAAGTCAAGCAACTTTTATTTGAAACATTTTGTTGTATATTCAAATATAAAAAAGTTATTCGAGTGGATCACTTAAAATGCCCACCCTGTATACAAATATAAAAAATATATTATTTTTATAGATAAATTAAAGATTGTTATAGATTTACACTGTTTGCAAAATATAAATATCATTTTGCTAATATCTAATTCATACGTTGTTAATTTATATTTCTACAATGTTTCCGTAATGTTGCATTGCAATTTATAATATTGCAATATTGTTGCAAAGTTGTAACATTCTGTGCTGCATAGATATTATAATATTATGTGCTAATTTTTTTAGATATGAATAGGCCTAAAATTTAAAAAAATTAAATTTTTGTAATAAAGTCATAAGTAAAAATAAATTTGTAAAAAGATACACATACGAAGATATTAAAATTATATTTTTGCTTAATATAGATATTTCGAGCACTCCTGGAATAATACCGAAACAATATTACTTATTATTATTGATGTTAAGTTTTATCGTTGTAATTATTATAATTTGCATCTGCTACTATTATCGTTGTAAGTACATTTGATGTAGGTATGAATTGTAGATTATACATATATATCTGATGTAATATTTAAGAATTTACTGAAAGTAGTAATTTATTTATATAAAACTAAATGAATAAATTTACTAAAAAACAAAAAATTTTATAATACATATTATTACATAATTAAGTCGAAATTTTATAACAGTGTATCGTCAACGCAGAAGTAATAATGAACAATGTTTGTCTTCAACAATGACCGATATAGAATTGAAGATTCTACATGAAATACCTTGCCAAAACATTCAATTCAATATGATTTACAGTCCTATGTTACATTATAATCCGGATAAATATGAAATCACCGAAATCAAACGTAAACAAATTACACTAATAAAACTTCTTGGTAGCGGCGCATTCGGAATGGTAAAAATTAATTTTTTCAAGCAACGTTTCACGATATTAATTTCTAGATCAACAAAACAGATATACGTATAATAATAAAGACACGAATAACATGAATTTTTATTATAGATCATAATATAAAATTTAGGTGGAACAACCCAGATAGCCAAATGCAATGAGGTTGCTGTCATGTTGACAATAATTGTTGAAGCAACTAATTTTAACAAACTAGAGACAAGGTGAGACAGCATTATGTCTGTTGAGGTTGCTGTCATGTTGACAATAATTGTTGAAGCAACTAATTTTAACAAATTAGAGACAAGGTGAGACAGCATTATGTCTGTTACGTTGAACTCACATGAATTCATGTGCTAATAACAACAAATTAATTGCAACGTGTCAGCTTATTGTGTAGACAACGTAATACATCAATATTGCAGACTATTTGCTTCGTTAATTGATTGCATATAGAAGCAGACATAGCTGCATTCGTAACGCATTCCGCATCTCGATGTCAGCAAATATACTGTAAATATATAATAATACATGCGATGCATTTATTTGCTGAATATATCATATCAAGCTTGGCTATCTGGGAACATACATGCACTTTATTATGTATTTTTCGTTTAATTATTTAATATAAAGTAAAACGTTACTTGACATTAAATTATACATTTTCTAATGAAATACGTATGTAAATTGTACATTTTTTAATGAAATACGTATGTAAATTTGTGTACAATATTTCGCAGGTATTTCAAGGAAATGTGAAAAACTTAGAAAGATCAGGCACAGAGATATCCGCTGCAATAAAAGTGCTTCGAAAAGATGCTTCTTCCTATGAGAAAAAGAAATTTTTAGAAGAAGCCAGACTTATGAATCACTTTCGACATAAACATATATTAAGATTGTTAGCCGTTTGTTTAGATGGAGATTCGCCGTTACTAGTGTTGGAATTGATGGAAACTGGTGATCTGTTAAAATATTTAAGAGATTGTCGAACTTTGCAAGCGTCAGATTCGCATGCACTGCGTTTGCAGGATTTGCTCGCCATGTGCGAAGATGTTGCTCGAGGCTGTTGCTACTTGGAAGAGTTGCGTTTCGTACATAGAGATCTTGCGTGTCGTAATTGCTTATTATCTTCGAGAAATCGCGAGGACCGTATCATCAAAATTGGAGATTTTGGTCTAGCTAAGGATATCTACAAGGATGATTATTATCGCACGGTAAATATAATTATTTAAAAAATTAATTATTAAAAAAACGAGTTCTTTTGAAAATGTTTTTCATTTTTTATCATAATCAGCATTGTGCATTTTCTTTTTGAATAATATTAAATATAAATAAATTATTTTCATTTATATAAGACAAGAGATGAATGAACATTTTTTATTTTTATTTTTCATACTCTAAAAATGGACAACTTGAATAAAAAAATTAGATTTTAGTTTAAATCATGTTTCAGAAAGGAGAAGGTCTGTTTCCTGTTCGTTGGATGGCACCGGAATCTTTGGTGATCGGAATATTTACTTCTCTAAGCGATGTTTGGTCATTTGGGGTATTAATGTGGGAAATTACATCATTGGGTGAACAACCTTACAGTGCCAAAACTAATGAAGAAGTACTAAATTATGTACGTGCTGGAGGCAGGTTGCCGATGACTCTTAACTGTCCGTCAATGTTGTACCAGTTAATGCTGTGTTGCTGGAGTACAGCGAATACCAGACCAAATTTTAAACTTTGTCTTAAAAATATTATAGCATTAAGAAAGAACATAGAAGATGCCTTATTGAGTCCAGTCGATACTTTTTAGCCCATATAATTAAATTAATGTTTATCTTCTGTTCCGAACGATTCAATAAATTTTAATGTAGGAAGAATATTTCTAAATTGATTCTGTTATTTTCAGGTTTAAACTTAATATTAGATGTATCAATAAAGATAAAAAATTTTTTAAATTTTACCTTCCATAAAATTTTGATTATTAAAAAATATTACATCCGTTTTGATTGTACAACAACGTAATATAATGATATATTTTATTTGGGTTTTTTGAGTAATCGAATCGAAATCTAATAATTATATATATATGTATAAACAATATTTTTTTCAATATGGAAATATAATTAATTTTTGACATTATGTACCGATAATTACAAACTGTTTATAAAATTTATGAGTGAAAGGAGAAACGCAAATAATCTTCTAAAATTGTGAATATATAAATATAATAATCCTTCCAAAAAAAACCTTACAAAGGTAAAAAAAATACGCCAAGTACATAAAAAATATTCCACCTCGTATGCAACAAAATGTTTAATAAAAAAATACCCTTATAATAAATAATTTATAAAAATTTTCTTCAAAAAATATATACAATAATTTTCTAAATATATAATTTTCCTAAAAAAAATCAAAACTAAATATGAAATCAATGATTAATTAGCCAAGTATTGATGATTAATTGAAGCAATTGATAGGGATTTGTAATTTGAAATATTTGTCACAAATTCAATCTTGTATTTATATATTAGATTCTCGACAAAATAAAAATGATTTTCAAAATAAGTTCCAAGTAAATTTGGAACTAAAAAAATTAACATCAAAACAACTTACAAAAACTTGACGTGCTCGGGTCACATTATAATACATATAATTTTACAAAGTTTGCGAATTATATACCTGTAATTAATTTCAATTATAGAAATATGTGAATTATAATATGAAATATGTAATTTGCAATTAACAATTCCATATTTTTTCTTAAAAACAATTATATGTTTTCTTTACACCAATTGATTCCTCTCATTATTTTGTATATAAAAGTATTAAGGTAAGATAATCGAAAAATGAATGGTTTACTAGATATTTTAAGGTTTATGTAAAATTAAGAAATTATTTCAAGCCTTATAATTCAAAAAGTACTTAATGAAAAGGTACTTAATTATAGTGTTTCGGAAAGCTCTCGAGATAACACACTACTAACACACTACTACACACAACTACAAGAATATGTAATGAAAAATAGGGGTTTCCATTTAAGAAATTGAAGGTTACCTTTATGCGACTTTCAAATGACTATCCAAGGTCAAATTTTTGCCACCCATCTTCTGTCTCCCTCGAAGTCAAGCAACTTTTATTTGAAACATTTTGTTGTACATTCAAATATAAAAAAGTTATTGGGGTGGATAAATTAAAATGGCTCACCCTGTATATAAAACAAATATATATATATAAATATATATATATATATATATATAAAACATATATATATATATATATATATATATATATATATACAGGGTGTCCGTCGATTTTCGACCTAAATGAAATAAATAAGTAGATTGGCTCGAATTAAGAAGGAATGACCTGTATTGTTTTGGGATTGTCGCAATAATTAACGAAATATTAAATAAAAAAGATCGGCCAATCTGCGTGAGTAAAAGCGCGCGGCGACGAGAGTCGTCCCACCGTAATCCGATACTACGAGTGCGGCGAAGCGGTGGGCGGGTCGCTCTCCGAGACATGATGGTGGTTTGCGATATATCGCAATACCGCGCCGAAAAATGACCCGTCCCCCCTTTTCGTGGCGAGAAAATGATGCGCTATCATTTCCACACCACCTTGCGGTAGATAGCATGGTGCGCTTTTTTTATAGTGGTTTCCCCCATAGGCCTATTCCACTCTCAATTTAAAAATTATTCAAAATGCCATTTACTATATGCTGAATATATCGTAAATGTAAAAAATTAATGGACAGTATCTTTACAAAAATTGATTCGTGGTTGAAAATCCCTCGATAAAATGTATTGCACACGTTGATAATGTGATACGATGATAAAATTCTTCAAGAATCCTTTCTTCATCTCGTACACGAAGACGCACTGCTGGACCAGTTATCCCGATATTATGCACGACACTCAGTTTCACATAATTATTGCACAACACGTAAAATTATACGGCCACTTGGATTCGTGCACGCCCGAGAAATGATTCCATGTAAATTGCGGCCGCACGATAAGTATTTTCTCCCGCTAGTCTGTATGCCACAATCATATCCGTATATTCCTGCAGAGTACACTTCATTTTCTCTGTTAATTTACTACGCAAACACAAGATTTTTATTAAAACGTCTTAGCTCTCACACGCTGTTACCAGACTGCGTACGCCAGCAGCACGCAACTACAGCTGACAGCTGAGCGGACATGTGAGTGTAAGCGTACGTGTGAGTTCGACGCCTGCGCACTATAATTACACTCAGTCCGCTCAGCTGTCAGCTGTAGTTGCGTGCTGCTGGCGTACGCAGTCTGGTAACAGCGTGCGAGAGCTAAGACGTTTTAATAAAAATCTTGTGTTTGCGTAGTAAATTAACAGAGAAAATGAAGTATACTCTGCAGGAATATACGGATATGATTGTGGCATACGGACTAGCGGGAGAAAATACTTATCGTGCGGCCGCAATTTACATGGAATCATTTCTCGGGCGTGCACGAAAACCAAGTGGCCGTACAATTTTACGTGTTGTGCAATAATTATGTGAAACTGAGTGTCGTGCATAATATCGGGATAACCGGTCCAGCAGTGCGTCTTCGTGTACGAGATGAAGAAAGGATTCTTGAAGAATTTTATCATCGTATCACATTATCAACGTGTGCAATACATTTTATCGAGGGATTTTCAACCACGAATCAATTTTTGTAAAGGTACTGTCCATTAATTTTTTACATTTACGATATATTCGGCGTATGGTAAATGGTATTTTGAATAATTTTTAAATTGAGAGTGGAATAGGCCTATGGGGAAAACCACTATAAAAAAAGCGCACCATGCTATCTACCGCAAGGTGGTGTGGAAATGATAGCGCATCATTTTCTCGCCACGAAAAGGGGGGACGGATCATTTTTCGGCGCGGTATTGCGATATATCGCAAACCACCATCATGTCTCGGAGAGCGACCCGCCCACCGCTTCGCCGCGCTCGTAGTATCGGATTACGGTGGGACGACTCTCGTCGCCGCGCGCTTTTACTCACGCAGATTGGCCGATCTGTTTTATTTAATATTTCGTTAATTATTGCGACAATCCCAAAACAATACAGGTAATTCCTTCTTAATTCGAGCCAATCTACTTATTTATTTCATTTAGGTCGAAAATCGACGGACACCCTGTATATATATATATATATATATATATATATATATATATATATAAGGTAGACCATTTTAATCAATACACGCGAATATCTCACAAGGAGAGGTCGCAACCTTGGGGTCACCGAATTAAATAAAATTTTAAGTGCGTGTAGTACTCGACCAAAGAAATTTTTGAGGAAAGTGAGAGGACGCAACGCTCAAAAAAAAAAACCAAGTGAAAAATAGGCCGTATCTTGTATACCGGTAAGTTTAGACTGATCGTCAAGTAAGCGGCGTAGCTCGGGCGGTAAAGCCCGATACTATTATGCTGCTGGTCACAGGTTCGATCCCGATTTGTAGTAGTTTCTTTTTTTTTTCATTTTTTTTTTACGCGAAACGTACAATATTTTTTTAATGAAAAAAATTAAATAAATAATTTAATTTTTTTGTTTTTATTTTATTTTTCTTTTAGGAAAGGCAATTATTTACGATATGTTAATTTATATTAAATTTTATAATTAATTAATAAGTGGCATAATAATTTTATATATTTTTTTTGTTAGTATCGAGTAGAATATATAGAATTGTGACGTTTTATAAAATTTAATATAAATTAACATATCGTAAATAATTGCCTTTCCTAAAATAAAAATAAAATAAAAACAAAAAAATTAAATTATTTATTTAATTTTTAAAAAAATATTGTATGTTTCGCGTAAAAAAAAATGAAAAAAAAAAGAAACTACCACAGGTCGGGATCGAACCTGTGATCAGCAGCAAAATAGTATCGGTCTTTACCGCCCGAGCTACGCCGCTTACTTGACGATCAGTCTAAACTTACCGGTATACAAGATACGGCCTATTTTTCACTTAGTTTTTTTTTAAACGGCTGAACGTTGCGTCCTCTCACTTTCCTCAAAAACTTCTTTGGTCGAGTACTACACGCAGTTAAAATTTTATTTAATTCGATGACCCCAAGGTCGCGACCTCTCCTTGTCAGAAACACTGCATTAAATTGAAAAATGTTTCAAACAAAAGTTGTATGGCTTGAAAGGGGATAAGATGGTGCCATTAGTTTTACCATATAGAGTCACCTGAAAGTCACGTAAATGTCATTTCCAACTTTTTAAATGGGATACCCTACATACTTTTATATTCTTATAGCTTGCCTCAAGACTTTCCGAAACACTATAATAAAATATTTTTTCATTTAGTACTTTTCGAGTTATGAGGCTTAAAATAATATCTTAATTTTACATAAACTATAAAATATCTAGTAAAATATTCATTTTTCGATTATTTTACCTTAATACACTTATACACAAAATAATGTGAGAAATTGACTAATGTAAAGAAAACACAACATAATTGCTTCGGAGAAAGTATGTAATTTGCAATTAATAATTATAACATATTTTTTCTCAAAAATAATTATGTTTTTTCAAACTAATGGCATCATCTCATGTCCCCCTTCAAGCCATACATACAACTTTTGTCTGAAACATTTTTCGATTTAATACAGTGTTTCTGAGATATTCGCGTATATTGATTAAAATATCTACCTTATATATATATAACATTAAATACGAAATTGTTGGAAACTTCTATTTATATCAAACTTTTTAATTTAATTATTTATGCTTCCAAGATAATTATTTGTCAGAAACAAAAATATTCTATACGTAATATTATTAAATGGTTGCAAATAACATTGC